CATTTTTGCCCAGCTTGAAGCTAACTTCATCTATAACTGCTCAGAGTGATGCATTTATAGGCACTTGTTTCCAGTCAGGTGAGATCTTCAGAGAAACCAAAAGTAGTAGGATTGTTTAAGACTAAAACCATGGGATTGAGATGGGAAAGGCTGTGGGTAAAGCAAATTTGCCAGGGGCTGGAGGAAAGGAGAGATTGTCAGGTGAGATGGGGAGGTGGTGTAGATTAGACACCGAGTTAGAATGCTTGAGTTTGAGATATCTATTAGACATCCACCACTGAATTTAGTAATGTGGCAAAAGGTCCTAGACAATAAAGATTTTCACTTTTTAATGAGACTAGACCAAGCAGAATAAATAATTTCTAAAGTTGAAAACAGGTCTTTTGAAATAGCACAGGCAGACTGAAAAACAAAAGAGAAAAGTGAACAAAGCCTATAGGATTTACAGGACACCATTAAGCAAACAAATATTTGTATTCTGGGTATTTTAGAAGGAGAAAATGAGGGAAATGTATAGCAAGCATATTTAATAAAATAATAGGTCAAAATTTTCCAATTCTTGAGAGAGGGCTGGACATCCAAATACAGGAATCTCAAAAAAACCCCAAATAGATTCAACCCAAACATGTCCTCTCCAAGACACATTTTTGTCAAATTGTCAGAAGCCAAAGACAAAGAAAAAACTCTAAAAAAAAGCCAGGGAAAGGCATTAAGTCATATGTAAGGGAATCCCCATTACACTAACAGTGGATTTCTCAGCAGAAGCCTTACAGGCCAGGAGAGAATGGAATGACGTATTCAAAATACTGAAAGAAAAAAAACCCCTGCTAGCCAACAATATTATGCCCAGCAAATCCATCCTTCAAGAACGAAGGAGAAATAAAATATGTGACAGACAAGCAAAAATGAAGGGAATTAATAGTCACCATACTGGACTTACAAGAAATGTTCAAGGGACTCGTACATCTGGAAGAGAAAACATGATAACCACCATGATGAAAATATGCAAAACTATAAACTCACTGGTAGAGCCAATAGAAAAAGGAAAAACAAAGGAATCAAATCTTATTACTACCAATCACAAAAATAGACAATAAGATAGGAAGTAAGGAACAAGGGATATACAAAACAACCAGAAAACAACAAATAAAATAATAGGAGTAAGTCATCACTTATCAACAATAATCTTAAATGTAAACAAGTTAAATGCCCATTTAAAGGATATTGACTAGTTAGGCACAGTGGCTCATGTCTGTAATCCCAATACTTTGGGAGGCCGACGTGGTTGGATCACTTGAGGCCAGGAGTTTGAGACCAGCCTAGTCAACATGGCGAAACACCATTTCTACTAAAAATACAAAGATTAGCTGGGCCTGGTGGCACATGCCTGTAATTTCAGCTACTCAGGAGGCTGAGGCATGAGAATCACTTGAACCTGGGAGGTGGAGGTTGCTGTGAGCGGAGATCGTACCACTGCACTCCAGTCCGGGTGACAGAGTGAGATTCCGTCTCAAAAAAAAAACAAAAAAGATGTTTACTGACTTTATGGTTAAAGAAACATGGCTCAACTATACGTTGCCTATAAGAAACTCACCTCACCTGTAAAGGCATTTTTAGACTGAAAGTAAAGGGATGGAAAAAGATATTCCATATGAATGGAAATCAAAAGTAAACAGAAGTAGCTATGCTTATATCAGGCAAAACAGACTTCAAGTCAAAAGCCATAAAAAACAAAACAAAGCAAAACAAAAACCAAAGAAGGACATTACATAAATAATAAAGGGATCAATTTAGCAAGAGAATATAGCAATATAAATATATATGCACCCAACACCAGGGTACCCAGGTATTTAAAGGAAATGTTATTAGGTCTAAAGGGAGAGATAAGCTTTTATACAATAATACCTGGAGACTTCAACACCCCACTCTCAGCACTGGACAGATTCTCTAGAAAGAAAATCAACAAAGAAACATTGAATTTAAACTGCATCATTGACCAAATGGACCTAAAAGATATTTGCAGAACATTTTACTTAACAGCTGCAGAAAACACATTCTTTTTATCAGCACTAAGAATATATTCCAGGACTGACCATATGTCAGGACACACAAAAGTCTCAAAAATATTTTAAAAATTAAAATCAAATCAAGTATTTTACCTGACCACAATGGAATAAAACTAGAAATGCATAACAAGAACATTTGAAACTATGCAAATACATGGAAATTAAACAATGTGTTCCTGAACAACCAATGGGTGAAGAAAGAAATTAAGAATAAAAAATTCCTTGAAACAAATAAAAATAGAAATACAACATACCAAAACATGGGACACAGCAAAAGCAGTATTAAGAGGCAAGCTTATAGAGATAAATGCCTACATCAAAAAACCAGAAAGATTTCAAATAACCTAATGATGCATCTTAAGGAACTAGAGAAGCAAGAACAAACAAAAGCCGAAATTAGTAGAAGGAAAGAAATTATAAAGATCTGAGCAAAAATAAATGAGATTGAGACTAAAAATATACAAAAGATCAACAAAATAAAATGTGCTCAAAAGTCTTCAAAGATTTTGACCCCGTGTGTGTGTGTGTGTGTGTGTGTGTATGTGTGTGACAGAGAGAGAGAGAGACAGAGAGAGAGAGAGAGACAGGGTCTCAGTCTGTCACCCAGGCTGGAGTGCAGTGGTGAGATCCTGGTGCATTGCAGCCTCAACCTCCTTGGCTCAAGTGATCCTCCCACTTCAGCCTCCCAAGTAGCTGGGACTACAGGTGCATGCCATCACACCCAGCTACTTTTTTTATTTTTGTGTATAGACAGGTTTTCGTCATGTTGCCCAGGCTGGTTTCGAACACCTAAACTCAAGCAATCCACCTGCATTGACGTTCCAAAATACTGGGATTACAGGCATGAGCCACTGTGCCTAGTCAAATTAGAGCCTTTAAAAAACAAGTAGCTTGTAGAAAAGCTTATGATAATTGCTCGAGCCTTAAGTAATAAAGACATTTTTCATTTGTACATTTGTTCTTTTACTAATTGAACATTTATCGAGTACCTATTATGTAGTAGACACTGTTATATGTAGTAGACCACCATTTCTGCCCTCAAGTCTAGAAGCCAAGGCCATTCCCCTGTGGCTCAGAAAGAAGATAAATAGGGAGGAAGTGAGTCCAGTTAGCAGCTTATATGAGTCTCCTGGTTCATTACTTAATCTTCATTGAAATCTTATTGTGTGTGTTGGGGGGAAGATGGAAGCAAAATACTGTTTTGTTAATTCCCATGCTCTTTGGGATCTTTATGTTCCTTCTGAAAGTGAGAAAATAAATAGGAGATCCACATTCTTCACGGGAGATATGGATGTGGAAAGGAGAAGGATTTTGAGAGAAGTCAAGAGCCATAGGGTGGAATAATATGAGCTTGTGTATACTTGCAACTTCCTAAAGAGAATCATGTCCCAAAGGCTTCTAACAAAGCTTGTTGAGAGCTTGGAAAAATGAGATAGGTAAAAAATCAAGGTCACTTAAAATACTTAGAAGTGTTGGGGAGAGGAAATGGCAAAACTAGTTAGAATGGCTGTATGGCTCAGTAGTTAAGCAGGTGGGCTCTGGCACCAGACAGATTTGGCTTCTGATTGTAGTGCAGGCACTTAGCTGTGTGACCTTGCAGAAGTAATTTCACTTATTGAAGCTTCAGTTCCCCATATGTAAAACAGAGTGGAATTTCCAGGCAGGTCTAAGTCCATATGTAGCATGTCTTGATAGTTCCTTTCTCAAAGTATATAAGCCCTCAAATGATCACAAACCTTCATTAAAAAAATCTGTTCTGGGACCCCTCATTCATTTGTCCACCCACCCATCCATCCTTCTGTCCATCCATCCATCCATCCATCATTCATCCATTTAAGAACTATGTATTGAGCACTTACCATTGCTTGGTGTTGCGGATGAAATTGTGATTAAGAAGTTATTATCCCTGCACTCCTGTGCCTTACAGACTAGAGGTGAATACGGATTTACATCTATAAGCATTATTATGATATTACCAGTGAAAAAGCACAGAACACCATGGAGAAATATAACTTGGGGCTCATTCTTCTTTTCATTTCTCTATTCTCAAAATTCCATTTTATCATCCTCTAACTTGTCAGCTCCCATTCACTAGTAACCCACAACAATCTGATTTCTTCCTACCCAACCCAACTTCCTACCCAACTTTCACATTTGCTGAAAATGTGAAATCCAATTGTCAGTTCTCACACTTTCATTCTTCCTATTAATCGCTCTCTGCAGCATTTCACATTGACATCTTGAGATGTTTCTTGAGACATCTCTTCCCATAAATTCGATAGGTCAATTGCCTTTCTTATTAACCCCTCTGCTGCTTCTGCTCTTTAAATTTTGGGACAATCCTTAGCATTTAATATTTAAATCTTTTCTATACATGCTTTTATATATGACCTCATTTATTCCCACATCATTAACTACCATGTACATGTTAAGGATTGTGAAATTCATAGATCTGGTTCCAAATTCAGATGGGCATTTAACTTATTTTAAAAGAGAATTTAACTTAATTCAAAACTAAATTTATCATCTCCATAGCTTTTTGTTTTGTTTTGACTGAAACTAATAGTGGTAACATTTACTCAGTCTTCTTGGATTGAAATTTTGTGCTCCTATTTCACAATATTTCTTCTACCAAAATTTCTTTCTTTACCCCCTCCGAAAACATTTATTTTCTCTCTAACTTAGGTTGAGTTATTCAATTAAGTAACTAAATAGAATAAAACCATATTCATTTCACTATTAACACTTAACAGGTTGCAATTTATTTCCAAGTCCTTCCCACTGAACTGAAGTTTAACTCTTTATTGAGTACTTAATAACCATCAGAGAGCTTAGTACATAGTAGCGACTCATCAATGAAATCTTAAATTCTTAAATTCTTTTTTTCTTTTCTCTTTTTTTCATACCTAGTCCCACAGATAATTCTTAAATTCGTTAAAGATTCACAAGCTTTTTGACAATATCCTTGAAGGCTTGTTTTACCTGTTGGTTCCTTAGGGTGTAAATAAAGGGGTTCAACAAAGGAGCAACTGAAGTAATGAGTAGGGCTACTCCCTTGTTGAATGCATCCCCTTCTTTTGCAGAGGGATTAATGTACATAAACATGCAGCTTCCATAAGAGAGGGAGATGACAATCATGTGGGAAGAACAAGTGGAAAAGGCTTTTGTCCTTTGCTGAGCAGAGGGGAGCTTCAGAATAGTCTTGATAATGAATGTATAGGAGAGAATCACTAGCACCAGAGTGATCACCAGGGTCACAGATGCCACAAGAACGACAACCTTCTCTATGAGGCTTGTGTCTGAACATGAGAGTTCCAGAAGAGGCTCATAGTCACAGAAATAATGATTCAGCCTGTTGGATGCACAAAAGTCCTGCTGACTCATCAGGGTGATTGGTGGTATAATAGCCATTAGCCCACCCAGCCAAGAGCAGAAAATCAGCTGGGTGCAGACTCTGCTGCTCATGATGGTGGTGTAATGCAGAGGTTTGCAGATGGCCACATAGCGGTCATAGGACATGGCAGCCAGAAGGTAAAACTCTGTGGCCCCAAGGAATATGGCAAAGAAATACTGAGTGAAGCAGCCAGCAAAGCTGATACTCTTGTCCCCTGTTGTGATGCTAATCAGGACCCTGGGAATGAAGATGTTTGTGAAGGAAATTTCCAAGAAGGAGAAGTTCCGGAGAAAGAAATACATGGGAGACTGAAGGTGGGAGTCCAGTAAGGTGAGGATGAGGATAATCAGATTTCCAAGGATGCTGAGTAAATACGTAAGGAAAAGAAAGGTGAAAACTGCTGCCTGGAGTTCAGGGATATCTGTTAGACCCAGAAGGATGAACTCAGTTAACACGGTTTTATTTTTCATTGTTGAAAAAGAGACTAGTAACCAAAGGTGAGAAAGGAAGAGGTGCTCTGAAATGAACAGATGAAGTCTGACAAGAACAAAATGAAATGAACGATGAACTCCTCTGATGACGTGGTCCAGACCAGTGGCCCATTTGAATGATGTTGGATCCTTCCCAGTCCCATTTGCCCTGTGGAGGAAAGTTCTTGTCATTGATTTTCCCACATTGTACTCTCCCTAGTGCTCACATGAGGCAAGTGTCTGCCTCATAGATGATGTTCAAAGAGTTGTGAAATAAGTTAATAAAATAATGCCTCCAACTGCTACCTCCTTCCAGAATATTTATTTCTTTTCCCCAACATTAACTTTATTTCTTATTGACCCCATTCATTGCCTCACTTCCTTGGTGTGCCTAACTCTTCTCAGAATTGTTGTTTTTCTTACTCTTCCCTACCTTTTTTTCATATAAATATAGCAGTTTCTCATTTTTCTTCGGGTTCAGTTTCCTTAGTTCCCTTGATGCAAAAAAAGTATCATCTTCCCACTTCTTTCCAGTGGACCCTCCAAATTCTTAGCCTATGTCTGTCTGTTAGATTCAAATATCTGTGTATTAGGGTTATGCTATTCTGTCCTTTGAAACATTCTACATACTTTCTAGGGGTCAGTAAATATTAGATTAGAATACTTCCTCAAACACATTCAGAATCTTTAGATCTAGAATTTTGCTTTCCTGTAAGGGTAGGGAGATTCTATTACATTCCAAGGAAATTTTAGGATCTTAAGAATATTTAAAGCAAGAATTTTTAAACCAGGGATCTACTAATCCCTAGATTAGATTTACTATGTATGTAAATCCATTAAATTATGTGTAAAACATTTTGTGTATTTGGGCATGTGAATTTTATGGGGAAAATGTATAAAACTATGATACAGGATTTTCTGGGAGATTCCATATTTGAGTACTTCATGGGCATTTCAAATAAGTTTCTACTTATTTGTGAGCTCATGCAGGTAAAGAGTCACATTATCTGGGAGTGCGCTTATTGATTTATTCAAGATTTCTTTCTAGTTATGTTTTTATAAATGTTTATAAGGCAGCAGCTTTAAAGCATTTTTGATTAAAATTCATTCTAAATTATGTATATTTTAATAAACACATATAGATATCACTTAAAAGTTTTATACAGCATTTCTTACTACATATGGTATAATCTTTTTTTTTTTTTTGAGACATAGTCTTACTCTGTCACCCAGGCTGGAGCAAGTAGCATGATCATGACTCACTTCAGCCTTGATCTCTTGGGCTCAAGTGATCCTCCTACCCCAGCTTCCTGAGTAGCTGGGACCACAGGCATGCACTACCATCCCCAGCTAATTATTATTATTTTTTAATGTTTTGTGAAGATGGGGTCTTGCTATGTTGCACAGGCTGGTTTTGAACTCCTGGGCTCAAATGATCCTCTCACTTTGGCCTCCCAAAGTGCTGAGATTACAGATGTGAGGCACTGTACCTGGCCCATGTGATAAAATCTGATATTTTCTATTTAATTTTTAAAATACTGGTTGCAGCCCACTAAATTGATTTTATAACCTCTTATTGGGTTGCAGTCAACAGTTGAAATCAGGGATCAAGAAAAGTTATTGTAAATAACTTAGGGAACAAACTTTAAATATGCAACTGAGAGAAGAGGGTCCAGAGAGGTTAGCTTGGAGATGGGTTGGTGGTGCTGAGGATGGTAGCCAGAGAGCATCAGCTGCAGATGCCCTTCCCTCCTGGTTACTAACCTGGAGTCTTCAGGGAGTGGTTGAATATTCACATCTGCATCAGTTTCAGGCTTTACAACTCCTGAGGAGTAAAATAAATGAAGCTATAAACAGTTAACATACTTCCTGACTTGACTGTCCAAATGACTATTGCGAGATTTTAATCCTAAATGTTCTTGGTGGTAAATTAAAATTAGAAGGCAACATAATTACAAAATAGTATAAGATTTATTGCATTTTTTTTTTTTTTTTTACCTTTTCTGCCAGCAAGTTCTATACTACATTTCATAGAAGTACATAAATTTCCAAACTTCTCTTGGTAAGAAGTAGTCTGCTGCTTCTGTTTTTTATCATCTCAGTGGGGATTTGCTTATCTCTGTTCTTCAACTAATTAAACAGGAGCTGAATCAGAGTTTTTGGACATCCTCTTTTTAAAGCATAGCCAATAACTAGGACACTAAAACAAAGACTTTGAGAAGCAGAGTACTCTTGAATTTTTCTGTTGTAGGAGAAATAAGCTGATAATCTCAGAAGGCATAATATGAACTCCCTGTCCTACCCCAGATTAAACTTTACCCAGAGTGACACAGATTATACATGCTCTATTGAGAGCATGCACTGGGGATCAATTGAGTAAAGAAACACAAGTTCCCTGGGGGATCTTCATCTGGAACAGGCTAATGAATGTCCTTTGTGAATAACTTTGGGAACAAACTTTAAATAGACAGTTGAGAGAAGAGGGTCCAGGGAGACTAGTTAGGAGATGTATTGGTGGTGGTGGGGGAGGCATCTAGAGAGCATTAGCCACAGAGAAGAAGAGTATGGAGTCATTATATTTTTCTTTCTCAGGTGGGTGGTCATAGCTGGACTTGGCTATGGACAAACAGGTTGGGTGGAACCATTTGGAGGTCCTAAAAAGCCACACTTTCTTTTTTTAACTTTTATATTAGGTTCAGGGGTACATGTGCAAGTTTGTTGTATAGGCAGACTTGTGTCATGAAGGTTTGGTGTACATATTATTTTGTCACCCAGCTACTAAGCATAGTACCCAATAGTTATTTTTTTTCTGATCTTCTTCCTCTTACTCTCCTCCCTCAAATAGGCCCCAGTGTCTGTTGTTTTCCTCTTTGTGTCCATTTGTTCTCATTTAGCTCACACTTATAAGTGAGAACATGCAGTATTTGGTTTTCTGTTCCTACATTAATTTGTTAAGTATAATGGCTTCCAGCTCTATTCATGTTCCTGCAGAGGACATGATCTTGCTCTTTTTTTATGGCTGCATAGTATTCAGTGGTGAATAGGTACCACATTTTCTTTATCCAGTCTCCTGTTGATGGACTTTTAGGTTGATTCTATGTCTTTGCTATTGTGACTAGTTCTGCAGTGAACATAGATATGGTTTTGCTATGTCTCTACCAAATCTCATCTTGAATTGTAGCTCCCATAGTTCCCTCATTTTGTGGGAGGAACCCAATGGGAAATAATTGAATCAGGGGGTGGTTTACCCCATACTGTTCTCATGGTAGTAAATAAGTCTCATGAGATCTGATAGTTTTATAAGGGAAAACTCGTTTTACTTGGCTATCATTCTCTTCTCTTGTCTGCCACCATGTGAGACGTGCAGAAGGGAAAAGCCCTTCTGCTATGATTGTGATGCCTCCACAGCCATGTGGAACTGTGAGTCCACTAAACCTCTTTCTTTTGTAAGTTGCCAAGTCTTGGGTATGTCTTTATCAGCAGTGTGAAAATGGACTAATACAGTAAATTGGTATCAGGAGTGGGGTGCTGCTGAAAAGATACCCAAAAATGTGGAAGCGACTTTGGAACTGGGTAATAGGCGGAGGTTGGAACAGTTTGAAGGGCTCAGAAGACAGGAAAATGTGGGTAAGTTTGGAACTTCCTAGAGATTTGTTGAATGGCTTTGCCCAAAATGCTGATAGCAATATGGGCAATAAAGTCCAGGCTGAGGTGCTCTCAGATGGAAATGAAGAACTCGTTGGGAACTGGAGCAAAGGTAACTCTTGTTATGTTTTAGCAAAGAGACTGGCAGCATTATCCCCCTGCCCTAGAGATTTGTGGAACTTTGAACTTGAGATAGATGATTTAGGGTATCTGGCTGAAGAAATTTCTAAGCAGTAAAGCATTCAAGAGGTGACTTGGGTGCTGTTAAAGGCATTCAGTTTTATAAGAGAGTAGAGCATAAAAGTTTGGAAAATTTGCAGCCTGATGATGTGATAGAAAGGAAAATCCCATTTTCTGAGCAAAAATTCAAGCTGGCTGCAGAAATTTGCAAAAGTAACAAAGAGCCAAATGTTAATCCCCAAGACTATGGGGAAAATGTCTCCAGGGCATGTCAGAGGTCTTCATGGCAGCCCCTCCTATCACAGGCCAGGAGGCCTAGGAGGAAAAAATGGTTTCGTGGGCCAGGCCCAGGGTACCTGTGCTGTGTGCAGCCTAGGGACTTGGTGCCCTGCATCTTCGCTGCTCCAGCTGTGGCTGAAAGGGGCCAATGTAAAGCTCAGGCCATGGCTTCAGAAGGTGCAAGCCCCAAGCCTTGGCAGCTTCCACTTGATGTTGAGCCTGTGGGAGCACAGAAGTCAAGAATTGGGGTTTGGGAACCTCTACTTAGATTTCAGAGGATGTATGGAAATGCCTGAATGCCCATGCAGAAGTTTGCTGTGGGAGTGGGGCCCTCATGGAGAACCTCTGGTAGGGCAATGCAGAAGGGAAATGTGGGCTGGAGCCCCCACTCAAGAGTCCCTACTAGGGCACTGCCTACTGGAGGTATGAAAAGAGGGCCACAGTCCTCCAGACCCCAGAATGGCAGATCCACCAACAGCTTGCACTGTTCACCTAGAAAAATCACAGACATTCAATGCCAGACTGCAAAAGCAGCTGGGAAGGAGGCTGTACCCTGCAAAGCCACAGGGGCAGAGCTTCCCAAGACCATGGGAACCCACCTTTTGCATCAGCATGACCTTGCTGTGAGACATGGAGTCAAAGGAGATCATTTTGGAGATTTAAGATTTGACTGCCCCTCTGGATTTCAAACTTACATGGTGCCTGTAGCTCCATTGTTTTGGCCAATTTTTCCCATTTGGAATGAGTGTTTTTCACCAGTGCCTGTATCCTCATTGTATCTAGGAAGCAACTAACTTACTTTTGATTTTACCAGCTTATAGGCAGAAGGGACTTGCCTTATCTTGGATGAGACTTTGGATTGTTGAACTTTTGAGTTAATGCTGAAATGAGACTTT